ATTACAAGTAGGTAGCAAGAAAGGCAGAGAGAGAGGGGGAAGCAGGCTCCCCGCTCAGCAGAGAGCCGGATGCGGGGCTCGATCCCAAGACCCTGAGACCATGACCTGAGCCTAAGGCAGAGGCTTAACCCACAGAGCCAACCAGGCACTCCAAATTTTCTTAATGAAATTACTAGCAGGAAACTTTCTCTCCCCTGAACATGAAAAGTACAGTAGGGTAACAATAATCTTCTTTCTTTAATTTCCATTTCATGAATAATTTTGTTATTTTTTTGTGGGAAGCCAAATGTTAAATTTTATGGTTAGCTCATCTTGTATCAAGAATTAAAAAAAAATTTTGTTCAAAAGACTGATATTTTTTATAAAGGAGTTTACCTTAAACGTTCCTTAGAAAGTGTGTTTTAAAGATTGCCATTTGCCATGAAGATTGTCAGACTGAGAAAAATACTTGGCTTTGTGCGTGTATGTATGTGTGTGTGTGTGTGTGAGAGAGAGAGAGAGAGAGAGAGAGAGAAACTTTATAACGGGGCTACATAACTCTGATATTTGCCAGGGGATATATAAGGATGTATCTTTTTACATCTTTGAAAATATTAAAGATGTTTGAAATATTTCCTATCCAAAAACCTTCTCTTGATCCCTCATATCCCAACAGTTCTTATCTAATTTCTTTAATTTCCTCACTAGCAAACTTCCTTGAAACAGTGTCAATACTTTCTCATTTCCCACTGAACTCACTCTAGGCTTTCCCCTCATTCCACACCTGTTTCTTATCTATGACCTTGATGTTCTCCCTGTTGCTAAATCCAGTGGTGAATCCTCAGTCCTCCTCTTACTGATTGAGCAGCCCCATTTGACCTCACTGGTTGCTCCTTTCTCTTTGAAACTGTGTTGGGTACCCTGATGGCTCAATTGGTTAAGAGTTTGCCTTCAGTTCAGGTCATGATCCTGGGGTCCTGGAACTGTGCCAGGTGTTGGGCTCCCTACTCAGTGGGGAGCCTGCTTCTCCATCTCCCTCTGCTTGCCCCTCCCCCTGCTTGTGCTTTCTCTCTCTGTCAAATAAAATAAAATAAAATAAAATAAAAAGAAACTGAAATAAATAAAATAAAATAAAATAAAAAGAAATCTGCAGTTGGTCACCAGAATATCCTTCCCTTTATGTTTTATTTCTGTCTCACTGCACTGCTGCTTCTCTGTTTTCTTTGCTGCATTCTACTGAGTTTGTGACCTCAAATATTAGAGTCTCTCAAGGTATAGTCTTTGGATCTTTTCTTTTCTCTGTCTATATTCACTCACTTGGGTTTTCTCATCCTGAACCAGAGATTTGACTCTCAAAAGTATCTACTTTTCCCTGAAGCCCCATGTTTCAAAATATCAACAACTCTACCTTCAACGTAGGTCTGAATTTTGAGTGGTCAATGAAATGTTTTTGGTCCAAGCTGCCATCATCTCTTACTTGGTTACTGGAATAACTTTTGAATGTGTCTCCCAGCTTTCCCTTTTGCTCTGTCATCATCCCCTACCTCTGCCCCAATAATGACTTAAAATTTCACTCAGAACAAAATTCGAAGTGCTTACCATGGGAAATAACGTTCTCAGTGAAACAGCCTTTTTTTTTTTTTTTAAAGATTTTATTTATCTACCCGACAGACAGAGACCACAAGTAGGCAGAGAGGCAGACAGAGAGAGAGGGGGAAGCAGGCTCTCCACTGAGCAGAGAACCCGATGTGGGGCTCGATCCCAGGAGCCTGAGATCATGACCTGAGCCGAAGGCAGAGGCTTAACCCACTGAGCCACCCAGGCGCCCCGTGAAACAGCCTTTTTACCTATTCTTTTTACCTATTTCTTTGCATCGCTTCCCAGTCTTGGCCTCACTCACTCTACTTCAGTCAAACTTAACCTCCTTGTGTCATCCCTGATCATGCTAAGTCCCCCTGGGACTTGGCAAAGGTTGCTGCTTTCACTGGAAGCACTTTCATCAGATAGCCTGGCGGCTGGCTGTCTTACTTCATTTAGGTTTTCTATCCATTGTCACACCACCTAATCCAGGAGTCCCTCCCCGAACCTCCATTGAACATAGGAACTCTGCCAGCCTTTTAAGTCCACTTTATCCTCTGACTCACTTTTCTTCTCCTTAGAGCACATACCAATATTACTTACCTGTTGAGTCAGTTGCTTGATTGTTGCCTTTCTTCAGTAGAAGGTAGGCTCTCTGGTAACAGGGATTTTGCCTTTGTTTTTGCAGTTACAGTAAGGACTACCTGCCTACAGCAAGTGCTCAATAAATACTGTTTTCAATGACTGAATGAATGGAAGAGATGGAAAATGGCTTTCAGGGTATTGGCTGGAAGCATTTCTTTTTCTTATGTATAATCTATAAATTGCTGGTGTGGGTATATGGTTAATCAGTGCTATGCCTCTTTACCCTGAGAATTCTTTGCTCCTCTGAGGAGCTCATTCAAGGTAATGCAAGGGTCATTCCACATGCTTTTTGCTGGAAGAGTCTTTTCCTGCTTAGACTTACAGTGGGAAACCAATCCAGCCCCGTGAGAAGGGTGATTGCTGTGAAACTTGTCTCTTACTCCAGTGATTGTGGGTCTGGCATTGAACAAGGCCATCACCCTTTAGTTATTTCTTCACAAAAGCAGGATTAATTTTCAACCCTATTCAATTATTTTCTGGAGCCTAGTTCTGTAGAACTATTGTTTTATTTTACGGGAGGATGCTGGGGAAAGGTGTACAAAATGCTCAAAAACAAAGATATATTAGAAGTACTTCTGCTGTGGCCAAATTGTCTGAATCTGACTTTGAAGTCAATATTTTCATTGGATATTTAGTGCTTATCAAAATCATTTGCAGCCAAAATAAAATGTCAGTCAGAGGCACACATTTTACCGCTACAAATTTAAGATTTCATAGGATTTTTGTGATGTATATCTCTTCAGGGTACGGTTTGACAGAAATTAAATTAAATCTGCCATTTCAAATAAATCCTGAGGATGGAAAAATTATAGATAATTTTTAATATTTGATAAATATATGTTCTTCTCTAGTAGTGAATGCTACTATTGAAATAAATAATAATTTTAAAAATTATTTGGGATAAACATTGTTTTCAGTAAAAGATATCATTAAAGAGAATGACATGGAAGCCCTACTAAATAGTACAACAGTAAGATGATTAAAATTCTCCATGTGATTATCATAAATTACAAAATTAATGTAAAGATTAGTGGGGCTTTTTGGTTATTTAATTCATTAAAATATTCCACATTTAGTAAATGAGGTGTTTGCTAGAATTTTTGTGATCTATCATAAAATAAGTTAGAATAGTCAAAATATCCTTGTATGAAACTTTTAATTTTAAAGAATATAAAAAATTAGTTTCAAAAGGAAACCCAGAAGACAGAACATATTACTATATTACCAAAACATATTCCATAAAATTACATCATTTTTAACTTAAAATAGCTATAAAGTTAATAAAAAAATTTAAAGAAAGACACTGGAACACTCTGATACATAGATTGCATTTATATTTCATGCTTTTTCCAGTCATTACCTCAATCCACACATTTTTAATAGGTATAATCATGTTATGTGCAATTTGATATCTGTGATTTTAACATAAAATTATATATATTTTCATATCTTCCTGTGTAATCTTTATAAGTATCATTTTTATTGATCACTATATTCCTTTCAGTGGATTGCTGTAATTTGCCTAACTACTTTTCTCATGCTGGACTCAGTCACATTTATTTGCTTCCTTGAGAACACACTTGTAATATTAAGTTATAATAAATAACTCCCTATGTGGTATGATTGGAGTAGGGCTGAAAAATATTTCTCATTTCAAAATATCCATACAAAGTTATTATTCATTCTTATACCTTGGCCTGAACCAGTTAGCATATTAGTTCCACCCAAAATATGAGAAATACATTTTGAATGGAGAAGACATGAACACACTGAGTGTTTGAGCCTAGGCTCACTCACCCTGGGGTACCGAGCTGTGGGTCGACACTGAGCACAGGCTCTTGTGTGAGAATCAACACCCCAAAGCGTCAGCGAGGATACCTCATTTGCAGTATGAAATTTATTTTTGGGTTGAGGCACATGAACTATACAATTTGTGTAGACGTTAGCTTTGTACAGACATGGAAAGAACCTGCAAACGAAAAGAGATGACTGTAAGTGTGTTTTTCCTGTCTTGGGTTGGAGGAACTTTAGGGAGATGTTACTGATTCACAGCATGTATCCAGTGTGGGTAGAAGAATAATAAACTGACTTGACCAGAAATTGAACACAACACAGGAACATGACTGTGGTAACAATGGTGCCAAATCAGTAAAGTCAGAGCCACACTTGTCAGTTCTGTTGTTTGTCATTATGCCATGCAGAAAATACTAACAACCGGCAAGATTTTGAAAGGTGATCTTTTTTCCCCCCCTAGATTCTTTCATGGTCCAACTGACCAAGACATCACTGGATCAAGGGTTCATCTAAATTGTAAGGCAGTACACGAAGAGCAATAGGATTCCTTTTTCCATTAGTGGGCTGTATTATAATTTAGAAGGTAATTTTTGTTCACTAAATTGAGCTATGACCGTTTATGACCAAAATGATAATACCCGGTTTTAAGGATTTAATTGGGGCAATGAAGTAAATTGTGAATTTCATGAGTTGTTAATTATGTGTATAAATGTAGCAGTAATTATGTTCATTCATTCATTCACTCACATTATAATAATATTCATATTCATAGCAATATTCTTTGAGGTTTTACATGTGGCATGCTGTAGTCTGGGGGATATCATACTGAACAAGACAAAGTCCCCATTCTAATGCAGCTTGTAGTCTAGCGGAGTGAGATAAATGCTAAACAAGTAAACATATACATATACAAAATTTAAAATTTCAGCTTGTACAGGAAAAGCAAAAGTAAGCTAAGAACACCATAGGCAGACTTGTTTTATTTATTTCCTTTTTATTTTCAGTAGGCTGCATGCTTCACATGGGGCTCAAACTCACTACCCTCGGATCAAGAATCACATCTTCTACTGACTGAGCTACCCAGGCACCCCCAGATCTGTTTCATATTAGGTGGTCATAGAAGGTCGGAAAAACCAGAATCATGACCTGAAGACAGGAGAAGACAAGCCTGCAGGTATGTGGAAGGACTTCTAGGTGGAAACATAGCAAGTGTCCAGGAGTTGAGGTGGAACATTCTGGGTATTGTCTGGGGGAAGAAACAAAGCCGGTGTGCTAGGGCAGAGTGGATAAGGAGGAGACTTCCATACAATGACTTCAAAATGTTGTGTGTGGGGGTGCAGGGTATGGAGGGTGTAGGACTTTTAGACCACTGTAGTGACTTTGGCTTTTACATAGGATGAGATAAGAATCCATTACAGGGTTTTCACCAGATGAGAGATATGCTTGGGTTTGTTTTAAAGGAATCACCCTGCGGTGTGGCAAATAAAGATGAGAAGAAAAAAGGGAAACTAGAGAGCGATTTTATGCAGAGACGGTAACTGTATCTTTGAGATAATGGAAGTGGTCAGAATCAGGATATATTTAGAAGGATAAGTGATAGGTCTTCTGTTGGATTGAGCACGTAGTGTGACATTGAGAAGACAAGGATGACTGAGGCATCTGGTCTGAGCAAATGGGAAGATGAGATTATCATTTAGTGAGATACAAAGTGTTCCAGGAGAAGCAGCTCTTTAATCCATTTTGAGTTAATTTTTGCATACAGTATCAAGTAGGGGTCCAACTTTATTCTTTGGCATGTAGATACCCAGTTTTCCCAGCAATGCTTGTTGAAATGACTGCCCTTTCCTCACTGAATGGTCCTGGAATCCTTATCAAAATATGTGAGCACCTATGGGAGGGTTTGCTTCTGGGCTCTCTCTTCTGTTGCACTAGAATATATGTCTGTCTTGATGACAGTACCAGAGCTTGGATTGCTATAGCATTGGTAGAAAGTGTTGAAATCAACAAGTGTGAAACTTGTAAGTTTGTTCCTTTTTTTCCCCCCAAAATTGTTTTGGCTGTTCAGGGTCCCTTGAGATGTTCAATGAATTTTAAGATGGAATTTTCTATTTCTGAAAAAAAAAAAAAAAAAAAAAAAAGTCTTTGGGATTTTGATAGGGATTTTGTTGGGTATGTAGATCCTTTTGTGTAGGATTGATATCTTAATGATATTAAGTTTTCCAATCCATAAACATGAATGTCTTACCATTTACTGGTATCTTCTTTAATTCTTACAGCAACATCTTGTAGTTTTCATTCTTTTCCTCCTTGATGGATTTCTTACTAAATATTTCTTTTGTGATGCCATATTATTTTTTATTTTTAACTTTCTTCTCCAGATTTATTGATATATAATTGGGGGAGAGAGAATCTCTCAGGGAGAGCAGGGAGAGAGAATCTTCAAGTAGACTCCCCGCTGAGCATGGAAACTGAGGCTGGGCTTGATGTCACACCCATGAGATCATGACCTGAGTCAAAAGCAAACATACACTGTTGTGTATGTTTAAGGTGTACTAAGTGATGATTTGATAGATGTATATATTATGAAATAATTACTAGAATAAGGCTAGTTAAAACACAATTTGTGGTTTTTTAAGTGGAATGGCATTCTTTTTTTAAAATTTTTAATTTTTTAATTAATATATAATATATTATTAGCCCCAGGGGTACAGGTCTGTGAATCACCAGGTTTACACACTTCACAGCACTCACCATAGCACATACCTTCTCCAATGCTGGAATGGCATTCTTCACTTGATCTTAGCCAAAAGGCGGAGAAGCGATTGGAATGGCATTCTTAATTTCCTTTTTGGATTGCTCATTGTTACTGTATGGAAATGCAACTGAGTTTTGTTGAAACATTTTTTTCTCCCATATAATATCTCTAAAAATCCTGAAAAACTATTGTCCTGTAGAGTACAGTTCAGAAAATATTGCCCAAAGGGACATACTAATTTTTGTTGTTGCTGTTGTTGCAAAGTCTTTCTTTAAACGTATTTGCTTTTCCATATCATTTGGGGAACTTTGTTTATGTCACTTTTCACACTTATGATAAATCGTATTCTTATTTATTTTGAAGGAAAAGACTCTGGAGAATTTGAATAATGCCTGTAGTCAAATAAAAGGTGATTTATGCATCTACCAGAATTCCCCATTTACCTTCATCTCATTAATTCAAAGGACAAAAGTTTAAATCTAAGTTCTACTGTATATGAACTATATGACTTTGAACATCTTGCTTCATGATTCTGAGCCTAAACTTTCTAATCTGTAAAACAGAGTAACAATGCTAGAATTACTTTTGTTCTAATCAAAGGACACACATATGTCTATTTCACTTAGGGAGTGTTTTAAATTGGAAATGAAGAATGTGTATTGCCTTTAGACTCTGCTATTGGTTCTTTTTTTAAACTGAAGTGTAGTTGACATACAATGTTATATTAGTTTCAGGTGTCCTACATAGTGACTGGGCAAATCCATTCATCATGTAGTACTCACTACGGTAATTGTAGTTATCACCTTTCACCCTCCAATGTCATTTCAGTATTATTGACTAGATTCCTGTGCTATAATTTTTATACCTGAAACTATTTATTTAATAATTGGAAGTTTGTATTCTTTAATCCCCTTCACCCATTTTGCCCATCCTTCCCCTCCCAGGCTCCTCTCCTCTGGCAACCAGGAGTTTATTCTCTACTTATAAGATTGTTTCTAGGTTTTTGTTTTTTTTTTTAATTTACACTTTATCCTTTTTTTTTTTTTCCAGTGTTCCAGGATTCATTGTTTATGCATCACACCCAGTGCTCCATTCAATACGTGCCCTCCTTACTTCCCACCACCAGGCTCACCTAGCCCCCCACACCCCTCCCCTCCAAAGCCTCAATCTGTTTCTCAGAGTCCTTTCTAGTTTTGCAGTGTGTGTTTGTTTGCTTGCTCATTTTTTTTTATTTTTAAGATTTTATTTATTTATTATTTGAGAGAGAGAATGAGAGAGAGAGACAGCATGAGAGAGGGGGAGGGTCAGAGGGAGAAGCAGACTCCCTGCAGAGCAGGGAGCCTGATACGGAACTCTATCCTGGGACTTCAAGATCATGACCTGAGCCGAAGGCAGTCGCCCAATCAACTGAGCCACCCAGGCACCCCTGCTCATTTTTTTGAAAGATTCTTTCTTTTTAAAAGATTTATTATTTATTTATTTATTTTTTTGGAGAAAGAGACAGTAAGGGGAGGAGCAGGCAGAGAGAATCTACAAGTAGACTCCCTGCTGAGTGCGGAGCCTGACACTGGGCTTGATTTCATGCCCACGAGATCATGACCTGATCAAAAGCAGGAGTCAGGGCGCCTGGGTGGCTCAGTGGGTTAAAGCCTCTGTCTTTGGCTCAGGTCATGATCTCAGGGTCCTGGGATTGAGTCCCGCATCGGGCTCTGTGCTCAGCGGGGAGCCTGCTTCCCTCCCTCTCTGCCTCTCTGCCTACTTGTGATCTCTGTCTGTCAAATAAATAAATTTAAAAATCTTAAAAAAAAAAAAAAAAGCAAGAGTCAGATGTTCAACGGACTGAGCCAGCCAGGCATCCCTCCTTTGTTTTGTTTTTTAAATTTCACATGTAAGTAAAATCATATCATATTTGCCTTTCTGTGTCTCACTTATTTCACTTAGTGTGATACTGTCTAGTTCCATCCATGTTGTCATGAATGGCAAGAGCTTATTCTTTTTTTTTTTTTTTTTAAAGATTTTATTTATTTATTTGACAGACAGAGATCACAAGTAATCAGAGAAGCAGGCAGAGAGAGAGGAGGAAGCAGGCTCCCAGCTGAGCAGAGAGCCCGATGCGGGGCTCAATCCCAGGACCTTGAGATCATGACCTGAGCCGAAGGCAGAGGCTTTAACCCACTGAGCCACCCAGGCACCCCAAGAGCTTATTCTTCTTTATGGCTGAGTAATATTCCATTATATAAATAGATCTATCTCACATCTTCCTAATCCATTCATTTATTGATGGACACTTAGGTTGCTTCCATATCTTGGCTATCATAAATAATACTGCAGTAAGCCTAAGGGTACATCTATCTTTTCAAATTGGTGTTTTTGTTTTCTTTGGGTAAATACCCAGTAGTGGATTACTGGATTGTGTGGTATTTCTGTTTTTAATTTTTTGAGAAAACTCCATAGTCTTTTTCACAGTGGCTGCACCAATTTACATTCCATCCAACAGTCCTTGAGGATTCCCTTTTTACCACATCCTCACCAACATTTGTTATTTCTTGTCTTTTTGATTCTAACCATTCTGACAAGTGTGAGGTGATAAATCATCGTGGTCTTGATTTGCATTTCCCCGATGGTGAGTGATGTTGAACATCTTTTCATGTGTCTGTTGGCCATCTGGATGTCTTCCTTGGAAAAATGTCTGTTCAGGTTCTCTGCTCCCTTCCTACTCAGACTTTTTTTTTTTTTTGATGTTAAATTGTATGAATTCCTTGTATATTTTGGATATTAACCCCTTATCAGATATATAATTAACAAGTATCTCCTCCCATTCAGTTGGTTGCCTTTTTGTTTTGTGGGTGGTTTCCTTTGCTGTACAAAAGCTTTTTGGTGTGTTATAGTCCCAATAGTTTATTTTTACTTTTGTTTCCCTTGCTTGAGGAGACATGCCCAGAAAAAAGCTGCTAAGGCTGATGTCCAAGAGATGACTGCTTATATATATATATTTTTAGGAGTTTTATGGTTTCAGCTTACATTTAGATTTTTATCCATTTTGAGTCTATTTTTGTGTATGGTATAAGAAGGTAGTCTAGTTTCATTCTTTTGCATTGCTATTCGGTCTTTATGTTCTACGTTATAATACTAGACTTAAAAAATTATTTCTTTATTCATGGAAAAGTGAGATACATGCAAATTATAAGGTCTAATAATATCATTAATTCATTTCTATTATTTAGGCTTGACAGTATTGCTAACCTTGTTAATTTCTCTGAAATGGTCTGACAGCTGACATTTGAAACACAAAATGGGTGATACTTTCTGTGGTTGGGGAGTTGAATGAGACATTCGTAAGCATGATCGCTAAGAAACATTGTTTGAGCAAACCAGTAAGGAAGAAAGAATCAGAACCTTGGCTTGTCGGTAGCAACCTT